AAGCACAGCACACCACAGTTATATTTAATGATCTCTTGAAAACAGTGCGTACTATTGTTTTTTGAGCAATGACTAGGGATCCTAGCGTGAATATAGCAAGAAGTTAACAAGCTATATTAATTCATATAAAAATGATCTTTGCAAAATTTATATTCAAAATGTTTTAACCGTTTTAATTCCTTTTGTTTTCTGTGATAGACTTATCAAAATCAAGTACATTAATGTTTCTATACATTGCACTGAGTGCTTCGCTGAACGGTCTTAAAATATATTTAGTGAACGTCGTCCATATAGCAAACCTTTTTGAACTTTTCCATTCCGACAAGTTGAAAATACGTTAACTGCTGTGCTGTTTCCAAAACTGTTTCACATTATGATGGCTTGTTTGTATTAAGTAATGAGTGGTCTACTTCCGCTAATCAAGCGCTTACGGCACCATGAGCCCATACTATGCACGCGATTCAAATAACAAATTATTGTATCGCTTCCATTAGCATTTAAAAAAGCCACATATATGAATCTGTAAGGTCCAGCAGACCTTTGAGCTCAAGAACTACTGAAAAGCAATTTCAATAACTTCTCGCTGTTACTATTGCATGAATATAGAAAAAAAAAAAAAGAAGTACTCTAGAAGTCGCCTATACCGTTGCCAAGATGTTGCTGTACGTTGACAGCCAACTTTTTTATATCATGTAATTTTATTCAGGCAACGAGAACATGATTAAAAAGAAGCCAGCTCCACAGAGATCAGCAGAAGCAGGACTAGATCAACAACAATGAGTGCTGTTATTCAAGGCATAATCAAAGGACACAGTCCCTCATTCACCCTCCATCGATGAGCATGAGCGCACCACCACTCATTATCATCATTGACGATAGCAGTAATGGCAGCAGCATGTATGCCGTGCTATAAATGGGCCCGCTCAGGCGCAGCTGATCACATACAATCGCCTAGTTGTATTTTCATATCAATATGTATATTGTAATACATATATGTGCCGACACAATTAATAGGCATAGGAGTGGCAGCAGAACTGGTCATTGACGAGACAGATTAAGCAGCAAAGAGGGAACTAAACCTCTTGTCTAAAAAACTAAAAGGTGATTGAATTAGTTAATAAAATAAACTAGGCACATTCTCAGATATTGTTTTCTGATGTTGCTGAAGACACCTATTTTACAGAGAATGTTATCTATTCGGGCATAATGTGTGCACTTCTATCTGTGTGGCTTACTATGCTCCACGTCTATATCTTAGGTTAGCAACCATGGGGTATATTATCAGCATAATTATTTTCATTACTAAAGTTGTCAACAAAGAGTGACATTAACACCTTTATTCCCACAAAACCGTGATCAAACAAGAGGGCCTAAACGAGTTATAGAGGGCATATTGTATACGGTTTTGTGGTCTATTACCATAATATATATAAAACCGCAACCATTGCGGTGGTTTTGGCGGTGATCGAGACGATGATGATGTTGTGTGGTTACTGCCGCGGTGCTCAATTGCCCCTTCTCTCTGTCCCATTGTCCCTCTCTACCTGGGTCTTCTACTAGATTTAAATGTCGCACCATGAAGTTCGAGGATCCGTTTTTGGTCCTACTGACGTTGTGTTATTATTGCCAAAATCATCCAGCGCAGGCGAGAATATCAGCAGTCATACCCAAAGCGACAACAGCTCTGGTTGGAGCAAGCGCTACTGCAGTCAGCGATAGTGCAACAGCATTAGCAATCTGCGTATGAACTACACGCGCAGCAACGAACGCAGGCGGCTGCTGTAGAACACGTGGGCCTTCTTCTTCGGTCCCGCTGCTGTTAGTTGCTTGCTTCGCCCTTATGATCCTGTTGCTTACCGCCTAAAAGGACAGGTTCGGTAGTTGAGTGGGTGGTTATTGGCCTGTTGTTTGAACAGATTGGCAAAATCTAGCAGTAGCAGCAGCACTGGCCATCCAGCCCTGCAGCCGTCGTCTCTTCTCTCTATTCCTGTCTGTAGAGCTGACATACGCTACACACTCCCCCAAACGCGTAAGTTCTTATGCACGCAGTAACAAACCAATAGACATACTATTAATGTCCAATGGAAACACATCGCACCACCAGCAGCAGTACGACAACGATCATCACCTATGAGACGAGCGCATAAGGGCGTTTCTGCGCGCTGTTTTCTTGCCTGCAACAGCCCGATAAACTGACACAAGAGAAGCAGATCATAGAGTGTTGGTAGTAACTCCCGTCGTGCTCTGTGAGCTATGTAAGTATGAGCTAACAGCAGTCGCGGCGATGTTAGCGCGGCAAGCGAAGAGAGGCATCGTAGTCATCGCTGTCGTTTACTATGATTGTTGTAGTGCGTGTGACTAGTTGTGCTTATTGTCGTAGTAGGTGTTGGCATAAAATGCTGATGATGCTGCTGATCCAGAGCGGACGACGCGGCGCAAGTATAAACCCAACATAAGCAAGAATGGCCCGGCGCAGCTCGGATCGCAGCAGCCGCTCTTGCTTGATGCTGGGCCTGCTTGAATGGTAACAGTCAACTAAACAGCTCTGAAGAGTCGATTCGTTCCAACAGCGTTTGCACCATTATTCCGTTACCCCATCAGCGCTGCCTTTCCCGGCAGAAATATCAAAGTGTGGCGAACAGAAACAGAAGCCTTGGGTACAAGGCTACGGCCTGCGGCAACAGCGGATATCTAGTGGGTATTCTTGATCCGCATTTGATGATGCTGTATTGTTGATGGAGTGTAAGTTATACCTTCTTTCCCCTTTCCGAGGAAGATTTCGTCATCAAACAGGCTGACACAGGCAGTTATTCATCTCCGTCCTGCAAAATACTCTCCAGAACGTTACAAGGATACAGATAGGCTCAATAAAAGAACTCGCTTATTTGTCGTCGCAGTGGGCACACAAAAACGTAAGGGCAGATAAATAGATATAGCAAGGCTTGTCAAAAAAAGCGAGTTGCATTTTGTTGTACTGAGTTCTGATACTTCGTAACGCGGCTTTAGTGAACGAACTTTTGTGCGTGTTGAATTTAGCAGGTCTCATCCATGTATTTATATAAGTTTGTTCAATTTAGGCCGTACATACATTATATATATATATATATAATATGTTAGTGTTGTTTGTATTCTCCAGTCCTATTAATAAAATACTTGAATATCGCATACACATTAGTAAAAGCATGAACCTATATTGTTAGTGAAATATTCTTTTAGGCACCAATAACATTGGCGTCAGCTAGATGCAACCAACTTACTCTCCACAAAAATTAAAAGCAGAAATAACACCCCTTTTTTTATTTTCGTAAGACTATGCGATTGTCTTTCATGAATGAAACATATTCAAACAGGATTTCTGTTACATGCAAGATGTCAAACTTTAGAAGGATTAAAGCCGGAGTCTGACTTGAGTTTAAACATTTAAGCATTGGTCCACTATGCCCGCAATATTGAATCATGTTAGCTAATACTTGCGGCGTAGTAATGGTATGGTAAATTCGGCTCATTAATGCTATAAGTACATAATAAAAGAGTTAGTACTTCAAGGGGTGAAGTTATAAACTGGGTGTCTTTCAATTATCTTCCTCCCATTTAAACTCAGCTTTAGTATTAATAACAAGCTAAGGCCTAAATTATGCCAGGACGATGCACAGTTACTTCGAGACAACGGATGACGTAAAGTGCCTATAGATCATATGAGCAACGTGTAAAATGACAACAAAAACCTACTGTCTACTAGAGCAGGCGATACAAAACAAAGCTGTCTCCATATAAACGAATATCAACGCAGAGTTTGAGATGCTACCATACCATATGCCATGGCGAATATATGAAAACAGGTATCCTGCTTTAAAGAAACTTTATTGAAAATAAATATATCAATATAATATAAATAAATAACATATCAAGATATCAATGTCATAATTGCACTAATAGTTCATATGTGCGCCTGCTCGTTATCCTATTAAAAAACTTTTTATTTATGGAAAAATATATTTTAGGAGATAGACTACGTAAATTTTTTGGTCCACATAGAAAAACGTGGGAGTATGGTCTAACTCGTCATAAAGTTTAAGTTCTCATCAAAAAAGCATAAAATTATATGTAAGCACAATTTAAATATTCCAATTAAAGTTAAGTTTGGCAGATTTTTAACGCATTTTTGTTGTAGTTTACTTGCTTTTCGATACAAGATCTCCAAAGCATATCGGACATAAAAAATCCCTGGATGGATCCATTTTAGTGAACTCAAAATAGGCTTTCACAAACATTTGTATGCTGCACTTTTAGGAAAGATATAAACTATCCTCTTTCCAACTCAGGTAAGTCTAATTGTAAAATCTATTCTGCGCTATCTTCAAATCCTATGTAAAGTTCTACAAAAGTAACCTATCTTCTCTTGTCAGCTTCATTCACAGTATCGATCAGAAGGACAAAATCTGATGACTATCCGTTTTATGTATTCGGAAAGACAAGCATCTAAAAAGAGACCACGCGAAGAAATCTTTATAACATGACAAAGCGACCACCCGACTCAAATCCGGTAATTCACTGCCGCTATATTCTTTGGAAAAACTGATGACCATGAAAAAAGAAAGGGACAACAAGCGGGACTATTCGAAAATCATCTGAATAGCTCATTTTGCGTAAACCACGCGCGACAACATGTTCGATGTGAATTATACAGATAAAACATTAGTTGCAGAAAAGGTTTTCGTATTTCACATTTCCAGCTAATAAAATTTATATTAATACGAGTGAGCTCAAAACGACAAAAATTGAAAGGCTACTATCGGAGCAGATGATATGCACTAGCTAGTAATTTAGCCAAAAGAAGACGAGGCTATGAAGATGAGGACCCATTCTTACTCAGATCAGCAAGTTTACACCGATATAGTAATCTTGAAATGTGCAGGTGCTAGCGTAAAAAGAGCGGCTTTTAATGGGGCGTAAAGAACAAATGGCACCAGTTAGCTTTGAAGTCCGCAGGTCAGACTTACCCAACGGGTCATACAGGCTATAAAAGCAGACTGTTTGAAGCCATGTATGCATCAAAAAAGGTGGCTTTCGATCGGCAATTTGCCCACAGGCCAAGTTAGTCCTAACACAAGACGTCCTGCGAGTGACAGAATACATCCTGCGTGTGTAAACTGTTCAGCAACTTCAATCAAAAATGTTCCTTACTGCACACACTATTTACCGGTACAGATCCAAAGCACAAATAATTTCCGACGTATCCCCCACTCAGTAATTTCGTTTTGAACTGTGGTTACTCATGTATCCGGCATCAAGTTATCTTCTCTGGTAGATTTTTATACAAGATTTTATTCTGTCACCTTTTCTCGTCGCCGCAGTTAACGGCTGTCGCTTCAAGTCAAAGTTTCTTCAATGGGGCTTCTTCTCATATACTCTTACTGTTTGTCTTGAAAAGCATGCTTGAGCTTATGAACCAAATGCATCCAAATAGACCAACGTTATATCAACTCATCGGCGTTCCCTAAGCTGAAGAAGTTCGTTGATCTGCCATCAATCAGTTTAGTAGAAAGAATTCAAGCTGTTTCCCGAATGGCGGGTAATCCGCCATTCGGGAGGACGGCGACGTCTGCGACGCCGCCGTCGCGAACGCCGGAGAGGCTGCAGCAAACAACGTTTTGCTGCTGCCGCTGTCATACAAAACAACAGCGCGTGCCGCCCAACAGGAATAACGGCGGCGGCAGCAGCAGTAGCGTACCCGTGTACGAAGAGAATGACAAGAACTAGTAACAAACAAGTCGACAGCATGCGGACAGCAAGAGAGAACGGGACGCTATTATAGAAGCCCACGGGAACGTAAAGAGATTCAGCCCGGTCATCGCCATGTTGATACCCAGGTAGGTAGGTAGGTAGGTAGGTAAGACGGCTGATTGCTATGGTGGTTCGTTGAAGCTAACCATCGACGGCGCGGGCGGCCCAGACCAGACGCGATCGGCAGAACACGCAAGCCGCCGCCGCCGCCGCCGCCATCATCAATATCGTCAGCATCATCAGACCTTCTCTTTGTTACGGTCGCTACCACCGTTACCGCTACCACTACCACTACCGCAATTCCACTCTTAAGCAGGTCTTATGTGTGTGTCTGATGCATCTGAATCTGTGTGTATGTAACCAACAGCAACTGCAGCAGCCGTAGCCTACTGTTATAGAAGAACAAGGCCAGCCGGATGGTTGCCACAATCATCATCAGCAGCAGCATTATTGTCGGCGGGTGGGTGTTAGGCTACGAAAGAAAGTGGCAGTTGTTCGTGATTTTTTCGGGCATCTAGCTTCTGCACTTAACAGTTGTATTTTTTGTCTACATTGAGAACTGATCTAAGTAGGTAGTTGGGCCATCAGAATAACATAAGTTCTAACTGGCAGTGTTGGAACGAGCGGATACACTTAAAAAAGCGCATGACACCTGAACTCATTTGAAGTGTGAGTTTCAGTTACACAGTGGAACACAAATAAGCTTTAATAAGGTTCTAGACTATGTTGTTTCGAGTATATGAAATTGAAACCATATGGCCATTTACTTATCGATCACACATCCCAATCTCTGCCGCTTGTTGGACAATCTATGCACAATGGTAATTAACTTCCGTGCACCGCTTATACATTCACATGCATCGACACACCCACATCGTGCTGCCGTGCTGGCAACGAGCCGCGTCAGTCTCATCCAGCTCGACCATTTAACTTGATTGTTTATCTTCTCTCCCTTTGTCTATACGTCATCTAAATACAAACGCTAATTGTACTTGAAAAGAAAGAATCATATGTAGACGCACACTGCTTGTTCCCTCCCAACACCCTAGGAAAAATTGAACTGGTTTACGCGGTACGCGACAATTGGAGAGCAAATGAGACAGAATATTTGTTCTACATGGGCTGTACTAATTGTCATTATCATCAGCATCAACACCATCCCAATCATCATCACCAACAGCAACAAACAACACCGCCATCCGACAACGAGAAGCGACGACCGACGTGGTACAGATCAGCTCTCTTCAGGAGAAGCCGCGCAGGCACAGCCAACGGACTGTCGTGGCCATAGATATCTGCTGTGACAAGCTGACAAGTTGACCTGAGTGTGATGTTGGCTTACAAAATGGCTCAGATATATCATCATCTGCGACAGTCATGATCTTTGAGGTAAAACTACTGTAGCAGGATCAAAAATTGTCACGATATAAGCACTGGCTAGGCAGTAACAGAAGATGCTAAACATAGTACCTCTCTTCTGCTCATAGTCCATAATATTTTGGGTCGCTACAAGTTCGACGTAGTCCGGTCTCCGTTCGATTTGATGGAAACTATTCCGTCGTGCATTACTCTATTGTTCTACTCTGTTCTCTCCTTCCCGGCATCGAATGCTTAACCGCCTTTCAACCACTGCTAAAATGGTCGGTGGCAAATGATTATGATGGCGCCACAATAAGTGCCATAGATTCTGGAGATCAAGTTCGAGAAAGCCGTTTGATAGCCAGTTCCTCCCCCACTCCCTCACTACATTTGGTTAGTCGTTGGGCAGGCAAATACTGAATGTCAGCGTCACCCGCCAATGAACGCGACCCGGTGCAAGCGTTGAGATCGCGTCATCAACTGAATTGTTTCTTGTTTTCAATTAAACGTAGTGTCCCTTGGTTCACTGCTAAGTTAGTCGTTTTCTATGATAGCATTGCCACTACGTCGCTGTTTGTCATTACCAGCGTCACTGACTTAGGTACAACCTAAGAGTCAACAATTTGCGGCGAATCTTTCAAAATCATATACAAACAATTATACCTCCGGGCAGGGTGACATATGTGTGCCTGCGTTCGGCCGCCAGCATTGCCACATCGCCTGCGATAGAAGGCACAGCTGTTGTCCTAACGAACTACAATGCAACGGTCTCCAACATTACCATTCCTCTTCAACTGTTTTCTCACCCTCCGTCCCACTGCGACAACAACCATTAAACTACGCCGCTGTTCTAAACGTGTAAGAACTGGCTATGAGGATCTGTTAGGCCGGTGAACAGGACCAGCTGGACAAATCTGTCGGCAAAAAATAAAAGTCACTACGGACAAAAAATGACGACGTGAAGAAAGCACGCAGACTGCAGATTCGAGTAACAATGGCGCCAGTTCCAGCAGCGGTAAAAGGCATGGAGGCAGCATCATTGTCTACTCAACTACCTGCATTAACTTCCCTCAACCTCCGCAGTCCAATTATCTTTTCTTTTTTCTGAAATTGTTCTTACTCCGTCGTTGTTTTTGTACAAATAATAGCTGTTGTTGTTGTTGCAGCAGCTTCTTTTTCTTTCGTGTTTGTGTTGCTGTTTGTACCACTGCAATTGAATAATTATCCCTAATGGGTGACCGCTAATCGTCTCCGGGCTAATGAGAATGGCAACAGTGTCTCGTCCTCGTCACTATTTACATGATATTTTCATTATTATGTCCAATATATTTACCCGGCGTTTAGCGATAGTAGCCGCAATCTGCGGACAATGCACAACAACAGTTCTCGGAATTGTACCGAAACATATTCGTTTCGTCGTCCACTAAAAATAAATTCCAGCCAAAACTTGGCTAGCTTTTCCTGTGCTTCGTGCTAATACCATCTAACTACGATGCGTTGCACATATGGTGACTATCATTGTGACAACACGCATATGATATCAAAATCTGCCTCTCTGCGCTAACAACCATCTAATTGAATCCTAGTAAATTTTAATTTATTCATACGGAAAAATTGTACAGCATTCTTCTACTGATCATGACAACAATAATTATCATATAACCTCTATAGAGGGAATTTAGAGTCGAACACAGACGTCTGTCTTATGAAGTTAAAGCTTGCGTTTATATACATA